AAAAAAAAAGGGGAATACTTTGAGAGGAAATTAAATTACTAGGAGCAAAAATTATAAATTATTGTAACAATTGACAAATGACTTTCGATGAAGTATTTTCTTCTATTGTTAATTCGTTTTTTCTCTTTTATTAAGAAAATAAATGATATATGGAGTGTCGTGTAGAGAAATGTAGAAAAATAAACGGAGGCCACAAGGGAAGATTCAAATTATTTTAAGATATTGTATTAAACAGTTGGAAAAGTTTCAACCTAGGGAGAACATTTGTTTTATTTATCTACCAAGATAACGTGAAAAAGCAGAACGACCTAAGGAACTGTCCCAAGGAAAGTACACAAGTTTTATCATTTTGCTGAGGAGGAGAAACTTGAGAGAACAACTAATCGTTAGTGCATTAAGTGCTGTCAATACTATTGGTATTCCGTAATACGATTACACGTATGGAATAAACTCGTGAAGCACATTTCCGTTCGTTTTAACTTTCTTAAATGTGAAACAAAAAAAAAAAGAAAATGAGATGATCATTAAAAAATAGTATACGTATAACAGATATATAAGTAAATAATTTTTATTCGTATTAATTCGAAAGCAACTTCTAGATATTTCATATGTATATCGAAAATAGATTTTTCGCTTGTGAGAAAAAGTGTGTGAGTGATGGAGTCAGAATATTTTGAAACTTCATGGAAATTAAAGATACAACAGATTCGAAGGCGACTCCGCACTTTGTTCCGTAACACATTAAACAGATATAGTTCAAAGAGGAAAGGCTATACCAGATTCCTCACGGATGAGGAAAAAAGGTGACACGCTTGACTACTAATTAAATGGCCTAATTAGTTAAAATTTGTGAAGGTCCATCGTCAGATAAAATAAATTTCGTGGGTTATTGAGGCAAAAGACTGATACCGATCTCTCGGATCTTTCACTTTCATGTTCTCGTTTGAAGAAGTAAAAAAATAATACTTCAATTTTCTTTTACAACCGATATTTTTATAAAGTATCTTCTATAAAAAATTTTCTTGTGAAGTAAATTGAAGTAAAAAATTATGTAATATGTTAACGTCTG